TCTTAAATACATTAACCTCGTGCTCTTCAATTAATATTTTTTGTTATTGTTAAACTGTGAACTTATTTATCTAGAAGTAATCCATCGTGGATGTCGGGGAAGGGGGGGGGGGGACACAATGAGTTCACCGCACCGGGTGACACTAACCCTAGCTACGCCACTGATTATTTCTAACAAAATTGCTGTACCGGTCCTGCTATGGGTACAATTAATATTTTTTGTTATTTTTAAACTGGGAACTTATTTATCTAGAAGTAATCCATCGTGGATGTCGGGGAAGGGGGGGGGGGACACCATGAGTTCACCGCACCGGGTGACACTAACCCTAGCTACGCCACTGATTATTTCTAACAAAATTGCTGTACCGGTCCTGCTATGGGTGCATCTTACATAGACACCTTACATGTACGACAGTATACCACAGTAATTTCTATACCGTTATGTTGGCCCCCACATCCCACACTGGTTCTGTGTGTAAGACGGCGTACGTGCTACAAGTTAAACACTGCCACGTGAATACTTTTATAAATAAACATTATTACAATAATATAATTTTAATTGGCCTTTGTGTAACATGTACTACTCTAATCTTAGTTAAGTACATTGGTGACAACTTGTTATACGGAGTTTGTTAACATGTTTATTTGTTAGCTGTGTCATTCAATGTTAGTCGGGGCAATGTTAACATAATATACTATTTGTTTCTTTTCAGGTAGTTTCCTTTTTCTTTAGAGTTAAAGTTTCGCTTTATCTTCATATTTTAGGCTTTTTCTTCAATCTTTTTTCTTTGGCATTTTAATAAGGCTCTCGTACTCAAGAACTGATTTTCTCAAGTTTCCACACATTAAACATATTAGTAAAACTCTCAGCCTCATCAAACCACCACACCCACTCGGCTACATATATGTGGCATTTTATGCAACGCTTTTACGAAACAGTGTTCACCGCCCAAAAACTGTCGTGGAATTTCGAAGGGTTCGACTACCACACCATTGCATGAACGGTTTCCCTCTCCACCGTTGTACCAGGCTTAGATATGAGGAAATCCTATTTGCGCTTTTTGGTATAAACTTAATAGTTTATTTTTTGGGAACCTTAGGGTATGAATTATATCTTGCCGGATAGGGGATCTTATTCTCTATATCTTAGTATAGTTATTACAAGTCTACACCTATAGAGGATATTGTAATTATAAGGAATTGAGGGAGTTTTCACATTCATCCCAGCCCTTTCTATTTAAAAAAACTCAAAGATCATTTAAATTAAATACATAAAAAAGTGTTAGTGTGTGTTCCTGCCCGGGGGCCGACCCGCAAACTGTGCCTACTCAGACCCTTCCCGCGTCAACTGGATTACTCTTTGTTCAGATTGGCCGGGAAAACCCACTAGTAAACAAACTTAAATCCTGGATGAGCTCACTTCCATAGGGCGAATCTATGATTTTTTTTTTATTATGGCTTATGTAGCTTTTGTAACAGATGAAGTTTTCGATCAAACATTGTAGGCCTACTTGTAAGACAATTATAATAAGAAAATATTTTTTTTTAAACAAGAAAAAGGTCCTTATTAGCATACTATATTATTGCAATGGATACAATAAATGTCACTAGTGTTATTAAATCAATCTCTGTCTTTCTTAAGTTGGCATTATCAAAATTAAGCTAGAAGCGCAATAATGGCTGTCTCGATTTCTACCAATTCCATCTGAGCTGGAAGAGAAAACTGAAATGCTATATAAAAAAATGCAAGCGTTTTGCGACCCTTTGAATATATTACGAATAGAGTGATTTTTTTTTTTTCATTCTCTTTGATGGAAATGAAGATTGTGTTATTTGATTTTTCTTGATCATTGCAGTTGGTGACGTGGCGGTGATAGTTCAGTCAAAAATTATATTATATTCAGCGGAATACCAAATTTAAAGAAACGATAAAAAGTCCCTTAAAACCCATCTGTTTAGGTCCGCCTATGACCTGTGATGCACCCTCCTTGCCCTGCTCCATTTTCTGTCTCGGGTTGATCCTGTAGTATAGGCCAAAACGTGCCAAAGTGTCCTCGTTTTATAGCCATTTTAATTGTTTCTATAGTATAGTAGTTACTATCCTAGTGTCTCATTTTTATTTTACTTAGTTTACATGTTTTTAATAATTGTAGAGCGCTTAGAGCTTTAAGGTAAGCGCTATATAAAAAAATGCCTAAATAAATAAATAAATAAATATCATGAATTTTGGATTTTCCATTTCGGTCCTGCAGCATAGTAAGTAGAAGCTCTTTATTCGCATTCCTTACAATGTAGCTCGTGAACGTTGGTCTTAGTGCTGTTTTTCAAAGAAAAATTACATAAATTTGAAACTCTGCTCTACAATCCGCAACATGGTTTAAGAATAATTTACCAGTGAAAGCGTACAGAAATATAAAAAAATTAGCTAAACATTGATCCTACCATTCAAATCTCGGGTATGCTTGAAGCTTGATCAATTTAATCAGCTTGTTAGCAAGTATTTAAAGTTTTAAAATTTTAATAATCTAATATATTTTACATTTTAAATGTGTAATTATCTTATATAGAAGGTCGTGCAAAATATTTTTATGACAATTTTATAAAACAGACGATGCCCAATGTTGGGTAGACCTGCCAGCCGAATTTTTTTTTAAATTTCGGCTGGCTGACATAATTTTTTGGCTGACATCCGGATTAGCCGGGTTCTTCTTCTTCTATATATAGGGCCCACGATCAATTTATTGATAATTTTGGCTCCTATGTATGTAGATGGGATTTACAATGTTTCTGTTCCTGGTGTTGATGAGGAAATTTCACTGATTTCCAGTGCCACTTAGTGAGGCGTGAGTGTATCATGCACTGGGGGTTTGAAGGCTTGAGGCAATAGACACAAATTTTAATGTGTCTAGTGTTGTCGCCTCAACCGATTCTTTTGAAAGCTTGTTCCAGTACCTGATTGTTTTGGGCAGGAATGAGCAGCTCCTATACTGGCTTCTTGCTGGTATGAGCCTGAATTGTCTGTCATGGCCTCGTCGCTGTCTATGGGGGAGAGGGACGAGTTTCTGTTTAATACTGGAACAGTGGACCAGGCCATTATTTATCTTGTACATCATGGAGAGCCTGGATTCTCCGTAAATTGACATTTGCGGCTGATTTTTGGCTGATTACGAAATATTCGGCTGAAATTCGGCAGAAGCCTGGCCAATAATGAAGTAATAAAACTTCAGCAATAAAACACTTTTACAATACTTCAGAAAAAAATTTATTATTTCAAACAATTGAAAAAAAAAAAGAAACAGTTTTAAATGCTGTCCTACAAATACAGTGCATGAATGCATTCCATTCATTCAGTTTTTGTTACTCAATACCTGATACCGTAAAACGGAACGCCATGAAATTTAAGAAAGCGAAAACAATACGTTACGGCGACTCGTGCATTTTTCGGCGGATTGACGGCGGACGAAAATTCGGCGGCGTATTCGGCGCGCGGCGTCGGCCGAAGGGTCTAATTGTGGGTATACATCCCTAAGGAGGCGGTGGCCGGAAATAATTTTAGAACTAGTGCTCTATTATGCCTATGTTACTGTGACTTTTTTTCTCAAAATTGTAAATATGGTGCTTCCCCCCCCCCCCCCCCCCCCCCCTCCCCTCCCACCTCTTTTTTTTTTTTTTTTTTTTTTTTTTTTTTTTTTTTTTTTTTTTTTT